TGTAACGGTACAGATTTCATCTAGATCTAGATGATCATTGAGTCAATCTCCATTTCACTATCATTAGTATCATTGTTATCATTTTCTAGATCTAATTCGTTTCTTAGAATCATTGAGGATATAGTTCACTGGTTCCTGCAAAGTTTGTTTTTTTGGATTAGCCTACAATTACCTGAATCAGTAGAGTGTCTTTTCATTTTGTAAATCAATTTACCATTAAAAAATTCAAAACTCATGGGTGCGCTATTATTGTCATTTACCACAAGTTGAATAGTCCTACCTGACATGTTGTTTTTTTCTTTGCATTTTTAATTAGGGACATTAGGCTTAAGGTAAGGTGCGCGAGACTGATATATCTGGCTGGCTGGGCGTGGATTTTTGTACGCGCAGACCGATAAATCGGGCTGGCGGGTTCAAAAGGTTAAAGCTAGAGGAAGACCAATTAACATAGCAAAGTCAACACAATAAAACTAAAAAAACCCAGCAATGTCTGTACTATTTACTATGGGGCAACATGATTGAAGGATTCCCGAAGGAAATAAAGTGAGCTTATCAATTACTTTTGACAACTCTAGAAATTATTTTTTCAAATCTAAAGGAAAGCATCAAATAAACCTTTTTTTTTGTTGCTTATTTCAGATTGCTAATCCCCTGACCCAGTGTTACATTGGTGTAAATGATATTGGTATTCATATGATAAGTGTTCAGACAAAGGTAAGAAAGTTGCAGTGTTCATTCTACTTTCTACATTCTTTCATTCAGTGGCTTACATTGCATCCATACACAATTCTTTCTTTTCTTTTTTTGTACATAGACAAAACTATGACAGTATTGCTGGTCATAATTCTTCATTAAATGAAAACATTTTTAGTGCCATGAAAATGAATTTCTAAAATTAAGTTTGGCCTTTTTTTTTTGGGTATCATTTTTGTACAAGTCTAGAATACAGCATCATGTATATGACATATTGAATATTATCTGCATTCACCTTAGCCTTAAGCAGATGGTTCTCATGCAATTAAAAAAAAAACATTTGAAAAAATGCTCTATAAACCAATTGATAGTTTGTGTATAAATAAGTAACAATAACTGATTGGGATAGAAAATAAGCAACTTTAAATATTTGAAAATGTTTGTCATTTTTTAACTCTTAAGAGGTAAATGTAGCATGAATTCAACTTATTCAAACAAAAATAGCATAGGATCAAACTCAGTGCATGTTGGTGCTTCTATCAAAGTTCTAAAATATTTTTAATAAACTCTGTTGTGCTTAAGAACCATAATAAAAATCATCTCTGAAGAGACCACTTTCTTTTTAGGCTTTTCCATTCAATGTGCACAATGTGAAACTCAACTAATAGGACTAATTGATGATCTTTTCATAAGGTTTAGATAATAGTGAGCAAGTAGATGCTATATTATTAGATTTTCCCAAGGCATTTTACAAAATTCACCACCATAGTTTGCTTAAAAAACTAAAATATTTTGGCATTGATGGTCCACTATATCAGTGGATTAAGGATTTTCTGATAGGGAGAGAACAAACTGTAATAATAAATGGCTCTAAATCAACACCGATAACAGTAAACTCAGGTGTGCCTCAAGGAACAGTCTTAGGTCCACTACTATTTTTAATTTACATAAATGATTTACCAAATTGCATTAGTTAAGCAACAAAAGTCAGATTAAGTCATCTAATTCTCTTTGTAAAATATCTGTGTCTTGTGTTGTTTTTATTGTTCTATATATTATGCAATCGTCTGCAAATAATCTGACTTTTGTTCCTGAACTAATGCAATTTGGTAAACCATTTATGTAAATTAAAAATAGTAGTGGACCCAAGACTGTTCCTTGAGGTACACCTGAGTTTACTGTTATCGGTGTTGATTTAGAACCATTTATTATTACAGTTTGTTCTCTCCCTATCAGAAAATCTTTAATCCACTGATGCAGTGGACCATTAATGCCAAAATATTTTAATTTTTTAAGCAAACTATGGTGGGGAACTTTGTCAAAAGCCTTAGAAAAATCTAGTAAGATAGCATCTATTTGTTCACTATTATCTGAATCTTTAGAAAAATCATCAATTAGTCCTATTAGTTGTGTTTCACATGATCTATATTTCCTAAAGCCATGTTGGTATGGTGTGAGGACATTTTGTTTGTATATAAGATAAGATAATTTATCTTCCAGCTTCATGCCATGTTACTAGTGGCATTAATGTTTGGACATCTATGGTAAAATGCTGTTAAAAATTATTATTAGATGAATGAAGAATCAAAGGTATGGTAAAATGCTGTTAAAAATTATAATTAGATGAATTTAAAATCAAATGTATCGCTTGTATGTTACAGAAAATGATTCACTCTCTTGACTATAAAGACATCTCTTGGAGACACATTCAGGAGAAGACCTTATTGGAGGTAAGCTGTCCCTGGGGGTCTGGGTTGTCTTTGGATAACATTAGAAGTTGAATAAGATCATTTCATGTTTTTATTGTGGAAAGCTTTCATAGGTAATACTACAACCCATGTCATGTTTTGATCCCTACAAAATATTATATGATATGTATGTTGGTTTAGTGATGTTCCCACAAAATACTCTGTGATGACATGTATGCTGGTCTAGTAAGATTTCTAGGAAGAACAGGGTTTACCAATGGAGTTTAAGCGAGTTAGACTTAGGCGAATGTTAATATCTAAGTGAGGTAGACCAGGACTAAGGAGGGAGTTAATGTTTTAATGAGGTAGACTTAGACAGGAGAGTGTTAATGTTTTAGTGAGGTAGACTTCGACAGGAGAGTGTAAATGCTTTAGTGTTTTCTGTGTTTTATTTGAGTGCCAATCAATGCATAGTTGCAATTCTGAGTTCAGACTACACAAGTCAATATGTTTAATGAAGAAGCAAAATAAGCTGACTTAGACTTCTCCCACGTCTTTCTGCCTATATGGCAGCAAACTCTCACCACAGATTGGCCACAAGCGATATCCAGAACCTCTTCCCAGCTTGTGCCTAAAGATTTTAGACATGAGATGGCCCTTTTTTCGTTTTTTCCTATTTTTGGCTTTCATGTTGTAGCTGTCTCTGTGGACTGTTTCATCTTGACTAAGGATATGTTCTGCAAATCTCATATGATGTTCAGTCACCACTTTGCTTAGGGTGGAAATAGCCTGTGTGGTAGAAGATCTCTCTACATAATATCTGTATGCTGTTCCTAGGATCCTTCTCAGCCATTGCCACTGAGCCACAGTTAGCCTCTTTTTGATCTTATTGGATGACTTCCATGTCAGATCAATTAGCCTGGAGACTTAGATCCACCTCTTCAATACAATAGTTATCACAATGGCAACCTACATTTGTGAGAAGCAGGACATAATCCATTAAAATTTTGCGATCTCAAATCCATATTTTGTTACAGTCTGGTGAAATGATCTACCTGCACTACTAATCATTTCTCAATTTTTATGGTAACGTCAGACTATGCCCTGATAATACATGTTTTTTTTTTAAAAATAGAAGTAAGCCTGATGTTTCTATCATACTCTTTTTCTCTACACTTCTGCAGATAAAAATTCTGAGGTCTGCTCACAATGTCATTGAAATACGCACTCGACAGGCTGGCCTTATTGATCACCTGATGCAGCAGCTTGACCGAATGCATAGTCGATGAGAGAACACTTGAACAGGGAAACTTCATCATATCATTTGGAAACATGAATATAGGAAATGTTATTGAAGAGAGTAACTTTCAGATAAAGACTTAACAGATTGTAAGGAACTATGATTGAAAAAGACTTCAAATATGTCTGTGTTAACTTCATTTCTTGTAAATTTCATTTTTTATAATTTATAGTTACATCAGAATAAGTTATGTAGTTAATGGTATATCAAATTTCTTCCACGTAAAATGACAATTTTAGTGAGTATTAGGTTGTGCATTTGTTATTATATGAATCAAAATTTTGTTTAGTAGTCCTTAGATTTATATTGTTTTCTTTTCATACTTCTACTTTTTAATTTGCTTAGTTCTGCTTTTTAGTTTCCAATCTAACTATATCAGTTTATATAGAAGTTTGTGCTTAGCTTCTTTATTGTTTGTAAACTGCAGATAACACATTGATAGAGCTTGATCATTCCTTTTTTGTAAACCTTGTTGTATGTTGTTATTTTTCATATTCTTTCTATATCTATCATTGCCATAGTTATCATTAAAAGTCTTTCAGACTAAATATAACCAAGCAGAATAACATTAAATAGTATTGCTTAAATGAGGATCATGTTTAAAAGCAAACAGTGCATAGACTGATGGCTTTGGCGGTCTTCTGTTTCTTCATCTCAAAATATTAAATGGCTTACATAAAGACATTTGCTTCATCAACTTGTTGATCTATCATCTCAATACATATGATAATCTGTCCCTTGACTTTCGTCATAAGGGTGCTGTGACAGTTCATGTAACCAAACCCCCTTCCCTTTTCTTGGTCAGCAGCTGTTCTTAGCAGAGTGTTTAGAGAGACGCCGGCCCATTCAATTATGTTGTCAAGCCAGCTTTTCTTTGGTCGACCATTTCTTGGGGTTTCCTCCACTGTACCTTGAAGGGTGACTTTTGACAGCGAGTCATGTTTTACAATATGACAGAAACAGCTCAGCTTTCGTCTCTTCACAGTATGGAGGACTTCCTTTTTTATGTCCTATTATCTGATTACTTTAACAAATCTTCATTTCATTATATTATCTGATTACTTTAACCTTTACTTCAAAACTCTACATATATCACCTGATTGCTAATACTGACCTGTCAACTTACATTATATACTGACCTATCAATTCAATACAGACCTATTACCTGACTTCATAGCACATACTGACCTATCAACTCACAGCTCATACTAATAAACCAACTCACTTCTTGTACTGACCTCATATTGGCCTATCATCTTACCGATATACCTGCCTATGAATTAACTGAATATACTGCTGACCTATTATCTGACTGCATATACCTGCCTATGAATTAACTGAATTTACTGCTGACCTATCAACTGGCTGCATACACCTATCTGCTCATTGAAGTACCACAAACTATCAACTGACTGCATTGTTTGCTTGATTAGAGAAAATGTGATTCCTCTAGTAGATGTAAATGTCTATCTGATTTTAAAATGGCCTTCGTCATTGTGAATACTAACATTTTGACTTCAATGGTTTTAAGTTGCCTACTAAATATTTTGTACGGCAACTTTCATTTGTTTTGAGCGACTTGTGATAAGGCAATTTTGTGGAGATTTGTACAGGGATTGAAGCTATGTCTTGTATAGATGTGTATGAGTGTGTGTGTGTGCTCAGTAAATAGATGTGTACTTGTAAGAATGTGCATGTGTGTGTTTTGGTGAACACATTTGCTGCACATGGTGTTTACCATGGCTTCTAGTTGATGCAACTGCAGTTGGTCCTGTTCATATTAAACATATATTTTTAATGAGTAAAAAAGTGAATGAGTCTCTGCTTATATTTTTAAATTATTTGAAGCGTGGGTGCGAGATGACTGTTTCAGCTTACTGCTGCTTTATATACATATATATATACATATATGTGTATAAATATATATATATATATTTATATATATGTATGTGTGTGTATGATTTACTGCTGGATAGTAAACTTATGAATAATAATAATATTAGGCATTATGAACTGTTTTGATAATCTTCTGATTTTGTTTTATTTGACCATTCATATGTTGTGAACAAAATGTGTTTCTAACTGACAGTGCCTGACAATCTAAAACATAAACATGTGTTCTTTCAAGTTAACTTTATTACTTGTTTTATTAGTGTCTGAAAATGTTATGAGACCATTTTTCACAGAGTGCCATGATTGTAAGATCTGTTATCTCTAGTTAATTGGACACATCTAACCACTACCGATTACAGTCAAATCTGGCTAATTTGATCACCCGCTTTTTCAGACTGAATGCTAAAGTACTGAAACAAATACTATTAAAGTCAAATCTGCTTAATTTGACCAGCTGGTTGTTTTGACAAAAATTTTGATGGAGTCTAGATGTGGTTTAGTTCACGGGATTCGACTGGGATATTTAGACCACATCTATTTCAGTAAATCAGACAGCTAGAGTAGTTCAAGGGGTTAGTTCAAAGCTAGAATTGTTTAAATGTTGCAGTAATAAAACTAAAAACCACAGATGTAACAATGGCAACCAATTCCACTCTCTCGGATACAAGTCTTCACATTCATGGAATTCATACAGAAATTGCATTCACGGCAACTTTAGTCTTAATAATATGCATAATATCTTAATTAAATTCCTTTTACAATAAAAGTGCATTACATTTGAAAAATAAGATGAAATATTGGATATTCTAGAACTTATCAAAACACAGCTAATAAGTACTTGTAATAAGCATCCACCAATATCAGCTAGTCTTTAGTGCTTGCTATTTAGTTGTACCTGTTAAATATAAATTGTCTTTGTATCTACTGTATATACATTTTTGACCTCCTTCAGTTGTAGAATGACTATTTTCTTGTGACTGTGGAGCCCTATTCTCAAGAGCCATTCTGTCCACATATAAGGCATTTGCTTTGGCGATTGAGCCAGAATTTTCTTCCAGAAGCTAAACTCTAGAAGTATAGAAATAAAAAGGGAATACAAAACGAATCTCTCTCATATGCTAGAAGTACCCTGCAGGACACTTGTTACACAATTATTGTTTAGAGCTTTTTGCATAGTTTTCTGCTCACAACTATTGTTTAAGAAAAAAGCTTGCTTTTTCCTCACAACGTTTTGTTTTTGTAGCTTACCTTATTTACACTTGAAGTTACAGCCAAATAGAAATTTTATTTTCTGTTCTCTGATACATTTCTCCTGTTTATTTTACATTTCTTTAATACTTGAATATAAATGTAATATAAAATTTATTTATTAATTTTTTTTTACATTTTTGCTTGTGCAAGTATGAAGTAATTTTTAAAAAATGTTGTCAATCTGATAACCTGGTCTAGATGTGTCCTGTTAGATTTCCTTTTTGATAATTTTCATCATCTCAGTGTTAACTTTCATCATTGCAATGTAATTCCATATGAACCACTAAATAGCAAACAATACAAACACACAATGCTGCTGTGATGTTAAGTGTTGTGTTTCTGTTGTTTGAAGTGTCTGGATATAGTTTTGTAGTATTCACAGAACACACTGAAAAAAAACAACAATAAGGCCTCAGTTAAATATAACTAATCATCTTTATTATCAATAAGATTGGGGCTCTATGTTATCTAAAAAGGTCTTTCTTCAGTGTGTTCTAGTGTCTACTTTTTTCTAGATCAGTGTTTCCCAAACTGTGTTCCACAAAACACTAGGGTTCCACGAGGCTTCAGTAGGTGTTCCATGAACTATTTAACTAGTAGGCCTACACATGAATTAGTCCAAGGTATACAATGGCTATGCTTGCCCTGGATGTGGCAAATCATGTAGTTCACAGCTGGGGCAGTGTAGCCACTGGAAAGACTGCATTCCTCATTAATCTTTGGACTCGAAGACAAGCCTTATTATTATTATTATTATACAAACCAAAAAAAAACAACAACGTAATTCTATGAACATTGAAATGGCTCTAATTTGAAACACAGATACAAAGAATACTGATGAATTTGTCTAAAGAGTACTAAAATATTTCCAAAACAAAGTAATGTTATTTTAATTCTGTTTCCTACAACCTATTTCTAAGAAGCAGAATTTTTTTTATTACGTGGAAACAAAGTCAAAAGTATAGATCTAGAAATAGGGAAGTAGAAAACTATAAATAAACTATACAGACATCAGCACCAGAAAAATGAAGGTCTAATGACTTTGATTGTATCATGCTCTTGAAGAGCTTAACTTCTTTTTGTTAGTGGATAAGCTCAGCTCTACTATCTGGTGGGGCATCAATCTCCTTGTTTCTAGATTTTTTACTTTGACTTTGTTGCAACGAAATAAAAAAAAAAACAGGGCCTACTTCTCACAAATAGGTTGTAGGAAACAGCAGTAAAATAAGTAAATAATTTGTTTTGAAATATTAAAAGTTCTCTTGAGACAAACGTGGCCAGAAATCTTTTAAAGGTTTGTTTTCAATCAGAGTCAGAATCTAGATCAGTGAAAAGTTTCTACTGACGTTGTGAGAGAGAAGAGCCAATCAAATCTATTTGTTTTTTCAATATACTTCGAAATAATAGTAGTCAACTGTTCCAAGGAATACCTTTGCAAGCCTCGCCCAGTGGTCTACGGGACAACAGTTTGGGAAACACTGCACTAGGCTGATCAATGATCATTATATACAAAATTACGGTCATTCCTATTTGGTATCGCTATCTTTGAAATGAATTCATCAAGTGTCTGATTAGTGGTGACACTATTCTTTTGTTTATAAGTGTCTGATTAGTGTTGATACTATTCTTTTGTTTATAAGTAGTATATCTGAAATGTTTTTGTTTACATCGTAAAAAACATTTACATCTCAGTTTTCATACATGGCGGAAAAAACTGTAAATAGCAAGCTTTTTGGTGCATCCGGTGTACAAAATAAATGAATTTTAGATAAACTTTGGAACTTTTTTTTTAAAGGTATATGATAGTTTTTGTGCAATTTTTAACACACCAATATTTTTTTTTAAGCGCATCCGTTTGTAGCACAAAATAATCTCACTATAAAGAAAGTATTAGACTTTCACTCTATGGCTTACAACTGATTTCAAAACAAATGGGAAACTAACTAGCGGTAATCTTGAAAGCTTGTGATGAAAATCAACTGCGAGGCATTGATGTATTGCTAGACATTAATTCTTTTGTTTTTATTTAGATAGCAACGCGGAACTTCAATTTAGCGTCCTTGACATTGTTTAGTTTCTCGTGAAAATCTCCAGTAACGTTGTTCTTGTACTGTTCCATGCTGTTTGGTTATGCGTGTCATGAGAGGCTCATTTAGTGCCATATTATGTTGACTTGTAGCAAATGTTGTATTGTTGTACGTGTCATGCATTTAGTTAGTCATGCTTGTTAACCAATGACTTAAATTCTGCCAAGTCGTTGGTTTTCCTGACTGGCTCAGGCAACCCATTCCATGCTTTAATAGCACTAGGGAAGAAGGAGCATTTGTACAAATTTGTCATAGCATATGCTATCAAGACAAGATGTGGACAGTGAAATAGCGATGATCTGTTTGGACAGAGTAACAAGCAAAATATTAAAAATTCCTTTTTTAAGGGGAAACTATATACCTCAATAATGTAGACGTTATTTCCCTTATTGGATATCAAACAAAGTAATTAATTTTCAATAATTAATTGACTGATTGTTTAATTTGTTAATTGGTTCATGTTTTGATAGGTACAATACATAATTGTTTAAAATATCAACTTGATCCGAGAATGCGTGTGGGCGAAACGATTATCTAAGCGGACAAAACCTTAAAAGTTTAGCCATATCTGTGAATGTTGAAGGATTAATTTCCCTACTTGGTATCAAACAGAATTATTAATTACCAGTAATTAATGCACTAATTTACCAGACAGATAGACAGAGTCAGTTGATATAAGCCTTGTTAAAAAAATACTTAAACAAAAAAGGCTTATATAGGGGAAAGAACTGCACACCTACAACCATCTCTCAATACTATACGATTTATTTCCCCTTTTCTATATCAAAAAAAATTAATTAATAACCACTAATTAATTAATTAATTATTTTATTGATTCATGTTTTGTTAGGGACAATGAATAATAGTAAGTGGGCAAAATTTGTACTCACTCCGTGAAGCTTTGTAAAAACATTTGTAAAAACAAGTTATACGGAGAAACTGTCTCCTCTATAGCACCCATGCTGGCGCTACTTTTACCTGCTGTGTATCTAGGCAAGTATGTTTCTACAGAACAGGCTATCTAGCCATACAAAAAAATGAAACTGTATCTGGATTTGTTGGGATTTTCAACCAAAACTACCCGCGAACAATAAATATAGCTTGAGGCAAGTTGATGGTGAATTAGAAAGAAGATTTCAAGACTGCAGTGCTATTGTAAAACATTTAGATATTTTCAGTTTGCCTTTTAATGTAGGATTGAGAAGTATTGAAACCAGACTTGCAACTTGAAATAATTGAATTGCTATCTAATAATCATCTCAAGCATTTCTAAATGTTCTGGATTAGGCAGTTAGATCGGCTTGTCATGCTTAAAGTTATGTAAAATGTTTATACCATAATATATATGTGAAAAGCTTTCGCAAATCGATGGAAAGACACCTTCAGGTTACAAACGCACCGCAATGATTCTGAACCAAACTCTAAGAACTATCATCATATATTCTTCCATCGCTTCAGTTACATTTTGTCATTAATCTGATTCAAAATTTATGTATTTTCTTAATAAAAAAAAATTGGCCCGCCAAAATATTTCCTTTAATTTTCTTTTGGCCCACTCCTCAAAGCGCTTACCCATCACTGACCTACATAATTGGTTTTACTAATTTTAAATGGCAGACGAGTATAAAATAGAAACTTTCGTTTTTTTGTAATTATCTCCCCCATATAGCTGATCTGCATTATTTCAAAATAATGAATACACGAGGTT